GATTTGATTCGGCTCGATGAAGATGAAGAAAAATATATTCGTTATTTTCAGATAATCAACAATGGTGGGACTAGTAAAAGGTAATGGAAACACATATTTCCTTCGGAATTACATAATATAGTTTCATTTACCTATGATAAAAAAGCGCGAGCGCACATATTATTTCCCAAAGTCACCAGAAAATCGAAAATAAAGAATTTCCAAAATGGGTAAACATAAACAATAGCAATAATCAATTAAATCAATTTATTTGCTTGGAACCGACTTTTGAGAATTATACACACTTGATTTAGGCATCGTTCGGTTACCACTATTAAGTTTTTTTGATTAAATGACCGGTTAAATACAACTAGGTCATTCAATTAGTAGCACCGTTCCCTTATAATTAATTTTGTATGGGATGACTACAAAGTAAAAGAAAATTGGATACTTCAAATCATATCTTAATTTTTCGAAGTAAGATATAAACAAATCACATATAAGTTCAAATTTTAACAAATTGAATATAAGATCTAATCTAAGAAATCGATCATCATACTACCTAAATATTAGTTAATCAGAAACCAAGTTTATCTCATCTATTAAAAATTAAACCTACATAGGTAACTTAACAAGGCCTTATGTTAAAAAAAATGAATTTTTTTTCCGAAATTACTTCATTTATTAGATGCTCAATTTGGAGATATGATATATTGGAGATATTAATATTAATTGATACATTTATGTAACAACTTACGTTTTTGGTAGAAGTGGTCATTCGACATGATATTAGAGTCAAACCAAATAAAAGGTCATGAGTTTGAATCCCACAAGGCAAATATATACATGGCACAAAATGAAAATATATATTAATGTATTTTGCCGTATATAATAATTCTCATAAACCATTGAAAAACGTGAAAACGACGAACTTATCCCTAATTTCAAACTCGAGCATCCCAAAATATGTATCTTTTAATGCATCCGCATCCATGTCACGTTCCGCTTATCTAGACGCATCCACGTTAATAATATTGACATTGATTGCACCCGAGATTATATTTTCCGTAAATAGCGCTACGTTTAACTCTTTACAGTAAAGTATATTATTTCTTAGCTATATAAATAGTCGTATAGTACAGTATAGAACATACAATTCAAAAGGACACATGAATAATACATAGCAAGAAATGGAGCAAGTGAATGGAGAAAGCCACCAACAACAACAACCAACTCCTTTGAGATGCCCTCGTTGCAACTCTATAGATACAAAATTCCGCTACTTCAATAACAGTGACCCCGCACAACCACGACACCATTGCTGGTCTTGCAACCAGAAATGGACCGTAGGTGGAAAGTTGAGAAATGTCCCGATTGGCGGTAAACATAAGAACAATAAGCAAACAAAAGAATCATCTTCAACACGTACGGATCCACAAACTCAACTCTCACAGCCACCATTGCGATTAGGAGAAGAACGCCTACAATACTTACAATCACTGACGCCCATGGCCACGATGGTTCCTCAACGTTTAGATACATCTATGATCCAACCGATCATAAACATGTCTACAACAGTATCTCCATCGAACTCATACTATTTCAATGATGAGATCTCTTGTTTGGATGCTATACAAACTTTGATCCGATCAGATGGTATTAATCAACATCGGGATGTTGGATATCAATTCGGCAATGGTGGTGCCAATATGGAAATTCCACGTGATTGGAATATTCAGCCAATAGCATCACAACATGATTTACCTCAACAAATCTCCGGGTTCGTTGACTCTTATGAAACTCAAAATCAAGTCAACAATGCAACTCCTAACTTGTATGACTATAGTTGGGTTCAACCTACTTGTCCTATGAGTTCTTTGCCACAAAATATCATGAATAATTTTGGGGTATCTACATCAAATTCTTGTCCATGGAACAACTTTACTGGGACAATTACCACCGCCGACACGGAAACAGATATAACCTCTGTGAATGTAGATGAGTGGCTTAATTTTCCAGACTGAGGTTCATCGTAATTTATGAATGAAATAACATATTTCTTAGTGAGCATGGTTGTAAAATTTATTTTACTTTTATTCAGATAAATATTTTGTTTGAATCTTCATCACCTTTATTTTATACCATGATTCTGGTAATCTATTTTATGAGCCTAATATCTTCATTTTTCAACAAAAAATGAGGTTACGTGAATGGTGTTTTTACGCAGAACTTTATACAAGTGGTTGTTATAAATAGGGAAAATTACATTTTTCATCCTCATACTTTACTCACTTTTTCAAAACTGTACCTAAACATTTTGGAGTTACAATAGTAGTCTTTAATCATGCCATTTTTTTACATAATTGGTCCGCCGTTAATTTTTTCCGTTAAGTTGGATGGAAAATGGCATGTGCCTCTCACATGCCTTCAATTTACAACACTACATGAAAATGGACTTTCAACAACACGCATTGCATCTTGTTAAAACATATTTTTTATAATTATTATTTTTAATTAAAATTTAATATAATATCGAAATCACGTAAATTCAAAAAAAATCAAGTCATTTCAGAAATATTATTTAAAAAAATCAAAATATTGTTTGAAAATTTAAAATATTGTTCCAAAATCGGGATTTTTGGAAGGTAATTAAAATATATCGTTTCAAACCATAATAAAAAATCTCATACGAATTGGGGAATTAGAAATCTCCATTACAATTTTCACCTCTATTCAATTCCGAAGGTTCCAATTGTGAGACAATATGACGAGTTTCATATCATTCTAAACGGGTGAAAATTGGAAAGGGAATTTTCTTATGCCGCCTATATTGATCGAAATCTTATGTATATTTAAAAAAAATATATACATTCAATTTCCAA